CAAGAAGGAAAATACCTTCCAAGTGTATAATACATAGAAGTAACTGACAGCACAACCCAAGCTTTAATCTTTTCAAAGCATATCTTATATCAAATTTGCTATTGGATGCCATGTCGATTAATAAGCTACAATAGACTTCCATTGAACAACCTATTTACTTAATATCAATAGAATGGGTTCCATTGACATTGGATCTTACATATTTTTCGCCAATGCCGTTTCTTTGAACACGTATAACTGTGAATAGTTTTTTTTATACTGCTAATAAACCATTGTTAGAAAACTGATATATCAGAAATCGATTGCTTTTACGATAATTTTGCAATCTTAGTCACTTTGGCCGTTCTTAGTTCACTTGAAACAAAGGTATAAACTCTGAAGGAAAGTTAATTACTTGAAATTGAATGCTTACCTGTACCTGAGACTGTATTCTTTTCCGCTGCACAATCTCTTTTATGTCCATTAAGTTTCCACAATCTCTCTTTACATATTTTGCAATATACAAAATGGATTGTACGTAGCCTGCCACTGTGCTGTAGATTAAGGGTTTGGCCAAATGCGTTCGCACAAAAGCATCTTCCTTTTTCCTGTTTAGGCAATCTTCAATCTTTGAACTTCCTTTCTCTGTCCCTGCAACAAAAGCAAAGTAATCTTTTGCTTTCCAATAATCTTTTTCACTGTTGACTCTGCAATTTTTCCAGTGAGCTGTTCTGGATTTATTACTTTGCTGTAGAATTCAGCAATTTTCAGAAACTCTTCATTAAGAGCTTCATGTGTACAATTATTGTGTGAATTTCGGTAATTGATGCTAGTAAAAGCTCTGTTGTCTTCCATTTTAGAATCTTCAAAAGATTCCACAGTAGTCATGGAGTTTGTGACCTCCCTGCATATTTCATTCGTTGATATGTTATCGTTTACTTCCATCGTTCTGGTGCTCTCGAGCTGTTTGGAAATTTGCTGTTTTTGAAAATAGCGCATAAAAAATAACCCATTTTTACGCATAAAAAGAAAGTCCTGTTTCGTCTCTTCAAGGAGTATCCTCCTTTCTTTATCTACAAATGTTCGCAAATGGCGCTCTAAATAATCGACGCTTGCACCCAAGATCCCATTGCACCCATTAATTGAAGAAGTTTTAAAAATGTTTATTTTCAATTCGCCTGTGCTGTCTTCTTTGAATATTAGATGATTGTTCTTCTTGTCTAGCTCTTCCTCCTGCTCTTGTACTTTTCAAGTGGTATCATGTCTTATATCAGTGACAAACATTAAAAGAATTAAAAAATCATGATATAATTTTGCCTTATTTATTATCGTGCTACAGAATGTTTCCAATTCTTATTTCATTTTCTTTAATAGTTCCATGGCTTGGCCCCAATGATAGTTTTTTTTCCTGTTCATGTTTGTGTTTTTACTTCTTCTCTCCTTTTCATACTCTTTCTGTTAAAAGTAAAGTGAATGCAATCAGCAACAATAACAACACCATCAAGAAGGAAATTGCCTTCCAAGTGTATAATACATAGAAGTATCCGACAGCACAACCCAAGCATATCTTTTCCAAGCATCTCTTATATCAAATTTGCTATTGGATGCCATGTCGATTAATAAGCTATAATAGACTTTCATTGAACAACCTATTTACTTGAATATCAATAGAATGAGTTCCATTGACATTGGGTCTTACATATTTTTTGCCAATGCCGTATCTTTGAACACGTATAACTGTGAATCGTTTCTTTATACTGCTAATAAACCATTGTTAGAAAAGTGATATATCAGAAATCGATTGCTGGGTTACGGAGACATTTTACGATAATTTCGCAATCTCAGTCACTTTGGCCGTTCTTAGTTGACTTGAAACAAAGATATAAACTCTGAAGTAAAGTTAATTACTTGAAATTAAATGCTAACCTGTACCTGATACTGTATTCTTTTCCACTGCACAATCTCTTTTATGTCCATTAAGTTTCCACAATCTCTCTTTACATATTTTGCAATATACAAAATTGATTGTACGTATCCTGCCACTGTCCTGTAGATTAAGGGTTTGGCCAAATGCGTTTGCACAAAAGCATCTACTTTTCTCATGTTTAGGCAATCTTCAATCTTTGAACTCCCTTTCTCTGTCCTTGCAACAAAAGCAAAGTACTCTTTTGCTTTTCCAATAATGTTTTTCACTGTTGACTCTGCAATTTTTCCAGTGAGCTGTTCTGGATTTATTACTTTGCTGTAGATTTCAGCAATTTTCAGAAACTCTTCATTAAGAGCTTCATGTGTACAATTATTGTGTGAATTTCGGTAATTGATGCTAGTAAAAGCTCTGTTGTCTTCCATTTTAGCATCTTCAAAAGATTCCACAGTAGTCATGGAGTTTGTGACCTCCCGGCATATTTCATTCGTTGATATGTTATCGTTTCCTTCCATCGTTCTGGTGCTCTGGAGCTGTTTGGAAATTTGCTGTTTTTGAAAATAGCGCATAAAAAATAACCCATTTTTACGCATAAAAAGAAAGTCCTGTTTCTTCTCTTCAAGGAGTATCCTCCTTTCTTTATCTACAAATGTTCGCAAATGACGCTCTAATTAATCGACGCTTGCACCCAAGATCCCATTGCACCCATTAGTTGAAGAAGTTTTAAAAATGTTTATTTTCAATTCGCCTGTGCTGTCTTATTAGATGGTTGTTCTTCTTGTCTAGCTCT